TCTAGGGCGGCTGGTGCCCACAACGTGGAATGAGGTTTGGGGTAGAAGCTGGGTGGTATGTCCGGCCGGCACCGTAGCTCATCAGCCGTGAGCCCCAACACTATTTTGCACACCGGAGACTTGAGGCGACGAAGGCTTGGTCTTGGTTCGTTTTAGGGCTGACGGCTTACTGCTCATTGCCTGTTTGGGTATCGGACAAGGAAACCCCGATACACCCTACCAAAAGTTGGCCCTTCAACAAGGACCGAATTCTGACAAAACCTGCGAGACAACGGACGGACAGCAAGTTTTATGTAGCCTTGTTGCACTCAGCACCCTCAGCGAGCCCCTGCCGTGGCCTACAGCCATCTTCGGGGTCTTCCGGAGTGCCTCGGCAACACGGTTTAGGAGTTGGGGGGCTCAAGGCTTGGGGGTTTCATTATAAGAAAATGTATAAGACAACACTTGCATCTGGTCTGCAGCGACTCAAGCCGGGACAGATTGGGGGCTAAAGCCGCGAAGTCCAAAACCTTGCCATAAACCTCTTCTGGCTCAACCTCTTCGAACTCAACCTCTTGACCTTGGACACTAAACGCACTGCCAAACCCAAACAGGCACCCTACACCCTAAACTATAAATCCTATAATCTCTACAAACCCTAATCCCTATAAGCCCTATCGGCCATATAAGCTCTATACCGATAGGCTCCATTGTAGTTCCTTTTCGTGGTTCTCATTTGGAACCCTATAAGGTACTCCCCAAAAGGAACTACAATGGAGCCTATGGGTAAACCCTAAGCCCTTTATAAACCCTAAACCCTTAACCCTGAGCCCTATACCCTAAATCCTAAAGCCTAAGCCCCTACATGTAAACCCCTAAACGATAAACCCTAAAGCCCTGAAGCCCTAAAACCTAAACCCTAAAACCCTGAAACCCGTATAAACCTTAAAGTTTAAAGCCTAAACCCCTAAACCCTAAACCCTAAAACCCCAAACCGATTGTTTCCTGGGCTTCTCACTGCGCGCAGACGCGAACATTTCGGAGGTGCGAGGTGAAGCAGCCGGGGCAGGACCTCCGCGGCTTTCTTACTTCCCCAATAAGCCAGGTTTAGGGTTCAGGAACTATAAGAATTAGGGCTTTAGGGCTTTAAGGTTTTAGGGTTTAGGGCTTTAGGGTTTAGGGCTTTAAGGTTTTAGGCTTCAGGGCTTTAGGGTTTTAGGGTTTAAAGCTTTAGGGTTTTAGGGTTTCGGGTTGGACAAAACGTGAGACGTGTCTCATGGGGTCTCACCATAAACCCAAGCACACCGAATCCACACTGCCCATAGAAAAACGAATGCTATGGAAGCTGAAGCTACTCCCGAAACTTGTCCCAGCCTGTACAGATAAGCAACCAAGATCAAGATCGTGCTGCAGTTTCTAGGACCCTGTACCTTTTCCCTAAACCCTAAGCCCTAAAGCCCAGGCCTAGGCCGCACATTGCCCAGCCTCAAGAGCCCGCCCTAAACCCTAAACCCTAAACCCTAAATCTTAAACCCTAAACCCCAAACCCTAAACCCTGAACCCTAAACCCCTAAACCTTATCCCTTCAGATCGCTACGTTCAGCCCTTAACTCTGGGCCTGTGTCCCGTTGAACCCTCGAGGCATGCCCTGAACGACCAGGGTTTGGTGAAATCATGGGCCCTTTGGGCCATTTGGGGCCTGGGGTTTTGGGTTTAGGTTGCTTGGTTGGTTGAGGTTTTTGTTTTTTTTTGGGGTGGTTTAGGGTTTAGGGTTCCACCCTGGGTCTCAATACTCAAGGCGGTCCGGAGCTCAGCATCACACCTGGCCGCTCAGTCGCGGCCGGCGCCTGGCGAGGCGGAGTGGAGGATTTTGGGCTGAGGGCTTTCAAGGCGCGGTGTCTTGAGTCTTGAGGTGGCGTTAAGTTTTAAGTTCAAGATTCAGGGCTCAGGTGGGCAAAGGATTTAGGCATTTTGGCTTTATAAGCAAAGAGTTCCGGATTTTGGGGGTTGATGGTTTAGGCCTTACCAGCAGCGGTTCGTAAGAGCTGGAAGAGTTTTAGGATCCGCATTTGGGCCCCAGTGTGTGGGCAGCTCTTCGTTGTGCCAACAAAACAAACCACACACAACTTAGATTCAACTGTGGGTGGTCACTGACTTTTTTAGTGCAAGGTAAGGGATCATCACAAGTGCTACGACAAGGCCGTGTCCAATACTAAACCCTTATCTGTAAACACATACCCTGACCCTAAATTTTCTTCAAACCGTAAACCCTAAACCGTACACCCTAAACTTTCTTCAAACCGTAAACGTAGAGGACTCCGTCCGCTCCGTTTCTGGGGGCTTCGGGGAGGGAGACGCCGGGTCGCCCGCACACATGCGCAATACAGCTTCAATAACGTGTAGGGGCCTTACTAATCAGAAACGGGTTTTGGGGCATATTATACTGTAGTTCTAATAAGGAACCAACTTCAATAAAGTAGGGGCCTTAACAATTAGAACAGGGTTTGGGGGCATATTATACTGTTATAATAAGGAGCCTCGAAGATGGTATAGGTTAAGGCCCCTATACCACATGAATCTGGTTTATGTCTGAGTCTTATATGTAGTAAGCCCCCGGAAGCAGCCAGAAATCTCGTGTCTTGGCTTTGGAGCGAGGGACCTGATCTTTATAGCCACGGCGAAGAAGCGCAATTGTTAGAAAACGGAGCGTTCCTTAAC